ACAATGAGGTGCAAGGTAACTATCACTGGGTAACTAGCTTTCCAATTTTATTTTTCAGGATTCTTTTGTTGGCAACCAAACACAGTATTAGCCCTTAGAGTCAATCTATGGCTTAACAACGTTTAAGGATGGCAATTTTCGATCTTAATTCTCGCAGACCTGTGGGATGGGGACGAGGGATATTTGTTATTATGAATTTATGTGAATTTTTTTTTTTACCTTGAAAGATATTGTGGGATTTTTATTCTTGTAAAAAACTAAAAAATATATAAATTAATTTTATTTTAAATTTAATTAAGCTTAACTTAATAAAAATTTTATTTTATTTTATTTTATACAATTTGATTTAACTCATATTTATGTCTAACTTAATTAAATTAAATTAAATTCATCTTTGACTTTATTTATATTTAATTTTATGTTTAAAATTTTTTAATTAATTATATTTAAAATTTTAAAATTTTAATTAATTATATTTAAAATTTTAAAATTTTATGCATTATATTTAAATATTAATTTATTATATCATGACATTTATATTTTGCTATGAGTTGGCCAGAACCCCGCGAGGAATAGCGACGGGGCAAAATCTGCCCCCCCGTGAAAAATTCCCGCGGGGATCCCCGTCCCCGCGCATTCGCAGGGACGGGGACGGGGAGGCACTTCCCGCCCTCTATTGGAAAGCTTCTGCAATCTCCGCTACCTCAACAGAGAGAGGAAGGTGGGAAAAGAAAGATAAAAAATGAAAAATGAAGTCTAATTTTAACTTAGCGGAAGCGTACGAACGATTTTTGGAGATCCCCAACGCCGAAGGAGGAAGTGTGGTGGATTTCACTCCAAAACCATCCGGTATTCGCCTCCGACGGTGACACATCAACTGCAGCTTCAGTTCGAGCTCAGAGGAATCTCCTAGCTTGGGACGGATCCTCCAGGCTCTATTACTGGTACTCCAACAAGCAGTGCCTTCAGCGAATCTCCATTCGATTGGGCGATCCGACACCAACTCCCGTCACCGCCGCTTCTTCCTCTCAGGTAATTTTTAAACATTCCAACAAGCGCCTGTGTTTGAATACTTGTTGCAATTGCATCATCTCCCTTTGTGCTTGAATGCACGGTTGTAACTGCTTTAAATTGTACGTATTGCAAGCTGATGTGCAGCTGAATTTTGCGGTTACCATCAACGAAGTGGATCGGCTTGACTCCTTGCTGGCTTAGATGGTCTGTGTGTGAAGTACTTCCATGGACGATCTTCCACCAAAGAAAACACTATTGTTTGCAGGTGTACAATGAAGATTTTTTGTTTTCTATACTGAGCATGTTGGGTTTGAGCTGTTTGGAAGCAGATTGAAGAGGACGACTGATATCTAATATATGGGGCTTAGATGCTGAGTGGCTGCATAATGCATGTTTGTATGAAGACTTTTGCAACAGTAGGAATTGCACATGAGAGAAAGCACTGTACATATAGCAGAGTGGGTCACTTTTGCTAACATGTGATAAATTTCCTCCAAATGTTATTTTTGTTTTCAGATTTATAATTCCTTGTTTTAATGGCAGTTCTTTAATGGTTTTGAATTGGTCAGATTTTTGCACAAATTATAACTGTTAACGAATGTACATCTCTTTAGGTAGACACAGGCAAGTTTCTGTCCATTTGTGGTGGTTAGGTTCTGAATTTTCTTGGGTTTATATATTGTTTTCTGTTGAACTTACAATTTTGTTTGAGGTTGCTCTGATACCAGAAAGATGAAAGAATTAGAAGAAATTGGTTGTATTTTTCCTTGAATAACACTGTACAATGATTTTTCCTTGAATAACACTGTACAATGATTTGATGTATATATATATATATTTACATGTAATTGTTTAGATCCTAAATTAGTGACTAGTATTGAGCAATACTACCGTTGCTACATTCTGAAAGTTGCAGCTATTATTCCTCGGATCAGTCTTTGATTGCTTTGATGTGATTTCCTTATCTGCTATGATTGTTTCCTTACTCATCCTCTGCTGTGATTCTTCCTTCAGACGAATTGGGTCACAATTCTGTTTCAATGACAGTAAATTAAAATGCATACAATCAGTCTAGTGTCACCTACCTATCTCTGTATTGAACTGGTTACCATCTTGTTTTACAGGACTGCTTTAATTGGGTCAGAAATCTATTTCAATGACAGCAATGTGATAACCATATTGGAGTTCTCTCTTCTAATTCAGTTTTCAGGTATCCAAATCTTTAATGTTTAGGGTACTATTCATCAGTCTAAATTAACAAATGAAGTCTTATTTGATTGGTACATGGATGTCAAAAAAAGAAATATGCCATTCTCAGTATACATTCTTATATTTAGGGATGTGGAGGGTGTGCTTCTGTGGGATTTATTGTTGGCAAGGAAGGGAAATGAATGTCTGGATTTGTTTCTTTCAAACTTTTATAGAGCCTTATTCTCATTTCAGTTGCTGTCTTGTAGAGAGTTAGATTGTCATGCAAGTGGGCATAGAAGTTTGATCTCTGACAAGCATGTTATATCTGTTTCGTGGCTTATTTCCACTTCTCGAACACTTATGATATTGCTATTGAATTTGATGGGAGAAGTTTGTTATATGATGGTTATAGATTGTTGTCTTGCATTTAATTGTTGCTTTATCTGTTCTGTTAACTTTTTATCTCTATTTTTTATTTCAGACTTTTTGACTTGTCTTCAGATGTCGTTCAACCAGAGCAGGAATATTATTTGTAGCCCATTGAACGTGATAGATCCAGGAAAGCTACGTCAGTCTTCCCAGTTGATTTTTCTTTTGGGGGACGACCACTTGGGGGACAGGTTTAGTGTAAGTACTATTTATTTTATATGTGCTATAAAGATTATAACTTGCAATGTGCTTTAAGTTACCGATACTAGCATGCTGGTTGTACAGTTGGTAGCCCCTTTAACTCAATTTATGGCAGGCATATTTATGAAATTCTATTTTGATCAATGACTAGGCTGTGTGTTCTGGAATTTTTTCTCCACCCTCCTTTGAAAGAAATTGTAATTTTTCATAGGATTACCTGTTAAGTAATATTCTTTACTTATGAAATTAGTTTGGTAAGCGGGTTTGTTTGCAGTAATCTTCTTCTAAACTGTAAATGTAGCTGTTTGTTCATTGGTATGCCTTACTTCTCATTATTGTGAACTGGTATATTTCTCTATGGGTTCCTTGCAGTTTTCACAATTTCTTGATCAGAAACTTTTTATAGTCTCCCTATCTTTTTCTGGATATCTGGCATTTTTTTTTCAGGTATTAAGAATCGTTTTGCTCAATCTCATTGCAGTTTCTGTTCAAATATTCATTTTTATGTAGGTTTTTATATTATTTATTGTTGGTCCAGTTTACATCCTCTGCCCCATTATTCCCTTTGGAAGGTATTTCAGATTTTAAATCTTCGGGTTTTTTATTATTGTCTCTTTGTTTTGAATTTATTGTTTAACTACTTGTCCTTTCCGCTTCCACATTGCTGTTGTCATTATCCTTTCATTGCCCTGAGAGATACATGTTGATCTGCTACTAGGGTGTGGCTAATTATTTGCATTTAATGTTGACAGAATCATATATTTTTTGCAACAGCATTTATAAATGGGAGTTGATATTGGAAATATATAGTGATGCTGGTAGGTTTGGGCTGAAGTCAGCCAATTCATCAGCTGTTAACAATTCTAATTTGGCAATCACTTGGTGGGAAGCTACTTTTCCTGAATTATCTCAAGAGGCAACAGGTGGACAAAATCTCTCTGCAGTCAATGCTCATCCATATGCTTTGTTTGATGCTTCACTTGCTTTGCAGGTGTGTCTCCTCTTTAAAAAAGAGTTCCTGAACGCTCTATGTATGAGGTAATTATCCCTAGTGGCAAAATGTCAATTAGGCCAAATATTTTTATGTAAAGCTGTTAGGACGAAAATTTATGCCTTCTTTTGCCCTCTTGGTAGTGAGCTCTATTTTCATCCTCTAGAAATTGCTGTGCCCCCAAAATAATGTATATAGGATAATTTACAACTCAGTGAAAGAATGGGGCATCGCTACTGATTTCTTATTTATATTATTTCCGATAATTTCCTAGTAGTATTAAAGAAGGAAGGTTGACTGTTGCTCTGCATAGCTAACAATATGTCCTGAGAGTGATTCAGGACTGAAGCATGATTTGTAAATTGTACGCTAGAGAATTGATTGAAACATTTTGTTACTTTGCAATATCAGCTTCTTGAGGTTTAGGCTCTTGAATCTGCATTAAAGAGCAGGGAAAGCAGACGCTAAAAGAGATTGCTTCATTAATCAGTGAAAAACATTTGGAAAAATGTGTAAACATTTTGGGGAGCAGTGGGAGATGAGATTCACTGCTCTTCCCTTTCGACATTTATGCGGTTAAGTTAGTTGATTGGTAAAGGTTGCAGACAACTGCTTGGATTGAAGGTGGCAATATCCTACTCATCGTACTATTTTAGCACAGCTGCGGTAGCTTGCGATTATGAACAAAAATGCAGCTGCATTATAACATTTTCTGCCTAATAATCCATTCAGCTTGGAGGTTTCTTTCCTATTCACGCAGGACCTGCTGTTATATTTGTGTGTTAATTCACTAATGCTGAGAACAGCAAAAGAGGTAGAACAAATAACAGAAGCAGAGAGTTGGGAAATGATGGTATGAGAAATGTGAAAACCCTTGCTGTAAGAAAACGATCTATTGACATTGCAAACACCCTCTGAAATCTGAACATGTTCCCTCAGAGCAATGTAAGCTTCTTCTCTCATCGATGTTGATGTTCATTTTAATCATGTTGTCTCATCATTGGTGTTTGTGATTTGTAATTCTTTTTCAAAGTGAGTGCAGTGAACAAGAGATTGGAAACTTGAGCCAGTTTTGGTTTTCCACAGATAAATTTGGGCTCTTTTTAAGTTTGCCTGGCTTTGGATTTGAGCAATTGAAGTGTATCTCGTCTTCAAAAACAAGAAAGAAAGCATCATCAGAGAACCTAGAACTCTCCATCTCTTCATTGCATCAAAGAGAGAATTAGCTGCCACTAAAAGTAGCAATGATACAACCACATGGAGAAAAAAGGTGCGCACTACCACTGAAACTCAGCTTATAAGAATATATAGATAATTTACATCTGCCACCCTATTCACCTCATTATTGACTCCGCTGACTGACATCACAAGATCATTAATCTATTCCTACTTTATATTTTCTCTATTTTCCTTCGGTCGGTTTCTGGTCTTACTCTTTACATGGCTAAAGATAAGTTCAAGATGAGTTCCGACGCTGCACAATGATGGGATACCGCTTCTGAGTTCGCGTTGTTGGAAAGAAAACCAACTTATCCTCTTCAGCTGGAACCCAACTGTCCAAAGAGCAAGGTAAGCCTTTTTTATTTAGTTGCAGACTTGCAGTAGTTTCAACACACACACTAGTACATATGCATTACACATTATACATCCTCACGTCTAAAGGTACAAAACAAAAATATACAGGGTGATGGGTATAGCAATTAGCAAATAAGAAAATAGGATACCTGAACCGGGTGACTAGGTGGTGTAGAAAAACAGAGAGTTCCACTCTAGCAAGCTCATAGCCTGGACACAGCCGTGGCCCCCCGCCAAATGGTGTGAACACATTTCCTGGACTGCTATTCGCCCCAGAATTATTCTGTCCATATTTTTTTCATTACTCGTTAATTAGAACCAAAACTCAGAACAGAAAATGCAGATTTTCTTTCAGTGTGGAGAAGAAACACACACCTGCCATCTCCATGGATTGAAAGATCGGGCGTCCTTGAAGTGTTCATGGTCTAGATGCACTGCCCGAAACGAAGCAAAAACCTTCCACCCCTTAGGAATTGTGTAACCTGGTCGAATTGAATTCTTAGTCAAGTATTAATATATATGACATATACACGACGATGTTAAGAACATTATAGTCACTTCCTCTCCTTACCCTTTATATGAATATCTGTCATGGCTCGCCTGAACACTCCACTGATTATGTTTGCCACCCTCAACGTCTCATTAACCACCTGAAAACCATCGACAAAATAGAACAAAAATTAGCATAGATTCTTCATCAAGCGTAATAAGCTACCGTTGTCTGAGGTTTAGACTTACACACTGAGTAAACGGCATGGATTTATAATCACTCCATTGTAGTGCCTCTGTCTCACTTTTCTTTGCCCTTATCTCCTCATGCTCTTCCTGCCCAAATCACATCATTCTATCAATATTTGAACAAATTCAATTGAGTTAGATCCGCTTCTAAATCTTCGCATAAATTATTATTCATTAATTTAAATTTTACAAATCATCATCCTTTTATTTTTAACATTTTCAATAAATTTAATCTAGAATTACATAAAACTTTAAATTCAAATTTTGTGAACTTCTCTTGCAAAACTTAATTTAGTTCGAGTATGAATTTGTTAAAATTTAATACAATTTTTAAATATTAAAAATTTAAGAAAAAATAAAATTCTAATTTTGTACTCTACAGTACAAGATAGATTAAAGAACATTTCAAATATCGCATTGCCCTGCCTACCAGGGGAGGCGGTTTGCCCGATAAAGAGGAGGGGGTGTTTCGGTCATTGTGGAAAAAGACATATGGGGTCAAAAGATAGAGTGCGATCAGATTCTGGCACCCCTCAAGGCGTGCGTGCAGTTTGGAGAGGCATCATTTTGTCCGCTTGGGCAAACCGTGGTTTCTACCCTGACTTTTTACGTATCTGTACCTTTTTGCCTTCACTTTTAACCTACACCCATCATCCAATAGGACCAATACGCCACAAATCTTTATTTATAACTTAAAACTTTTAATTTTATTTTTTTTAGAAAATATCAAATAATTGGATATATTATACTCTATACAACTTCAATATTAATATTAATATTTTATTTTAAATTACATAACAAAAAAATATTTTCTTGTTTTTAATTTATTTTACATTCATATTATATGATTTAAATTCATATATTTTTATTCTTATTAAAAATTATTATTCAATTATTTAAATTATTAATTATACAATTAAAATTATTAAATAATCAAACCCTGAAAATTAGAGACTATTTTTTTATTTAATAAGTTCTGTTCTGGCAAAGCAAGAAGGTAATTTATTTATCTTTTATCGCTAAAATTAACAAAACACTTGGCTTTATAAGTTATTTGGTCAAAGTGCAGCTCCCTAACTCCCCAACCCCATTAGGTTTAATTTATTCTCCTTTCTCCCAAAAAAAAAAAAATTGCATTTATTCAATAATGATAATAATAATAATAAAAGTGGTTGAGCATTTAAACTAGAATACAAATTTGACTGGCATCTATTATAATAATAGTTTTTCTTCACTCAGTTATGTTAATAAAAAATTCATCAGTAAAAATATGCTTTTCTCTTTGGTTGTTTAATTAAGGTCAAAAACCCTTCTTAAACCCCTAAACTTATTCCATAATAATATTTAAGCTATTAAACTAAAAATGAAACGGATAAATCTTCTAACTCTACTAACAATACAAATAAACTTTCTCACAAAAAGTTCAAATGGTATTTCATGTTAAATATCACATTGAAAGCATAAATACACATTAATTAAGGGCTTAATTGCATCATTAATGAAGTTAGAGAACTTATCTGCTTTGTTTTTAAGTTAGGGTTTAAATGCTATTTTGAAATAAATTTGAGGACTTAACAAGGGTTTTTCCCTTTAATTAATGCTTTCATCTAACTCAGAAGATCCAAGTACAATAGACCATGAAAACAGAGCATGTGAAATGTTCTGTTCATCATTATCATCGTACATCCTGTGGATGGCCGAGATTTTAAGTAATGAAAAATGGGTTTCCAATGAGTCCAACATCATCATTATTTGGATCTGGGTTCACCCGGAAAGGAATTAAAAAATTAATAAAAATTAATAAAAAAAAATTAAAAAAAGCAACAACAACGACCAAAAGAATGAAAGAAGGAAAATCAAGTAACGCACCTTTAACTGAGCCAGGGCCAAAGGTGTCTCCGTGAGGAACTTGACAGCCAGTGTCATGATGGTTGGGGTAGTTTCATAGCCGGCAACCAGCAAAGCCACTAAAAAATCCACAATTTCCTCGTCGGAGAAGTTATCGTCTCCGGCCAACAGAGCTCCCAACATATCATTCCTTCTCTCTCCTCGTTCGTACTCTGCTCTTCTTTGCCTTACTATCAAGTCCAACGCCTCCGCCACCTTCGTTCTAGCCTTCAAAACCCAAAAACCCCACAAGTTTAGCTCAAAAAGAATCATAACATAAACCTCCGATCAAAACCCATTAATCTTCCCACCCGATCAAAACCCATTAATCTTCCCCCTCTCCTTACCTTGATCGCTCTCCGGTAGGTGGTGGAGAAAATCGGCAACGGAACAGTGAAAAATCCTTCAATAACAAGCACGTATTCCTTCCTCAAGCTTTCACTCCATTCTCCCGGATCAAAGCTCATCAGTTGCTTCACCGTTAACTCAAACGTTATCTGCACCCATAAAAATAATATTAATTTTTTAACTTACTATAATATTCAAAGACAAATGACAGAATATATATAATTTCTGTCGTCAACTTTTTCGCCACATTACTTCCCATCTCCGATGGAATCTGGCTCACCAAAGTCGAGGACGACAGACCACCGCCGAGTTAACCCGGCCGAATATATGTCAGGGGAAAAGAATTTTGGTCGGTTTTGTTTGTTACCTTCTTGGCCTCTTCCATGAGAAAAATCCGGCCGGTCCAGGAATCCATGTTGAGCAGGACCAGCCGGTCTATGTCGACCAAGAGATGGTCCCGAATGATCGACGAGTTGGCGAAGCTCATCGTCAGGGAATGCATTCTTTTATGAAGACTCCCTTTCATGAGTAACAACGAGTGTTTTCCGAGCAGGTTCGATATGGAACCTGGGTAGCTGCACTCGAAGAGCTTCCCTTCATTTTGCAGGATGAACCGGTTCGTTTCTGGATCGGCGGAGAAAACCGTCGGTTCCCCAAAAACATGGGTGGTGAAGATCGGACCATACCGGTTCACCCTCTCGTCGATAAACGGTTCTGGGTTTTCCGTCTTGTAAGCAGCTATCAGTTGTAGAGTCTCACCCACAAAAGGAAGGCCCAGACTCCCCGGCGGCAACCGGAGCCGCCGACACCTGGAAGCACGGAACATGATGAAGAAGCCGGTGAAGGCCAAAAAACAGAGCAAAAGATACACCAAAAGAATTGCCATAACTAAAATAAACTAAATATTAATTATATGTGAAATTAAGGGTGGAGATGGGGAGTATATGAAGGTGCAGAGGAGGGCATTAATGGAGGGAGAAGGAGGAGGAGGAGGAGGAGGCGGCACACGGGGGGGGTATGAATATCAGTGAGAATCTAAGGAAGGAAAACAACTAAATGTAGGGATATTTCGGCATCTGACATCTTTCTCTTTAAATTTCTTCTAAAAATTGTTTCCTTTCTCTTTCTCTGTGTAAGGATAAGACTTTGGGAAGGAAAAGGATGGAAAGTGACTTTGTTGTTATAGGCCAGCTGCAACCAAAGCATGGGTCTGTAGCTTTGCTGGATTTTCTGCGAATTTAATTTGGAATTGTTTTAAAAAAATTTTAAACAATTGGGGTTTGGGGTCCAAATTCGACATTGACACTAATTTTGAAAATAATTTGAATTAATGTTAGAAATTGGAAAGAAGGGGAAATATCTGAAGAAAGGTTTATTGCTTTCTTGAATTATATTGTATGTACAATGACCTATATATAGGTGTTTACAAAGAGAATATTCTAAGGTATAAAGTATA